TTCCTGTTGTCCACGTTGAGCACTAGGCTGTTTTACACCGATCTTTAATTTTCCAATTCCATGTCCAGGTTTTCCTCATGTGAAAATTCAGCCATATATTTTTAAAGCAGATTTACTACAGATTCTCTTTGCATTTTATCCCATTCAGCTTAGAGTCAATTGGCCCACAATGTGTAGTAGGGTCTATGGATGGATGTAAACAGTCAATTATATCCACTTTCATCCTCCTGCTCCAGTGTGAAATACTTTCCTTGGCCTCCATCCAGCGCCCCCCCCCCCCCCACCCCCGTTCCCCGCTGGCAGAGAGTCTGCATGAAGCACTCATTTTATACTTGGGCCAATAAAGTCAGCATTCCTTCACTCTCTCCTCTGGATATGAGCTAATGAGAGTTGTGGTTGACCACTTAAACAAATAAAAATCATTTTACTGCCCCCATCGGGCTTGGTAGCTGACACTTGAGCAGGTAAAATGGGAGTGAGTTAAAATGCTCCGCTCAAAATGCTTAATAATCATAATCATGTCAGCAGTTACAAAAGCTATAACACAAGCAGTTTAAGGGCCTATCACAACACAATAGAGCACAGACGCCATTACTGTTTGAGGGCGTTATGGAGGTAAAACTACAGGCTGCATGATGAAACTTAAAGCAACCGTTTCACATTCAACCTCCAACTCCAGGTAACCAAAGTGGGGGAAGTGGGGACCACTTGGTTATGGTGCCTGGTTGTTGTTAGTGGGTAGCCCTGCCTCACAGACCCAGCAGAAGACATACCCCCGCCCCACCTTTTTATTTATTTATTTATTTATTTATTAATATATACAAGTTTGGTAAACCAGCGATTGTTTCAGACATTATTCGGTACCAATATACCTTTCCTGTCATTTTAAACCACATATATATCAGTAGAGTTGCTACATGTGTGGATAATAACTCTCACTATCAATTCAGCTATTCTCTTTGAGCTCTGTTTACTCCACTTCAGCAGATTTCAGCCGCTCCTCTGAAACCCAGGTCCCTCGTCCCCCCCCCCCCCCCCCCCCCCCCCCTCTCATCTTTCCCTTTGCGTGACAGTTTAACATCTTGTGAACTTGAGCGCACATCAAAGGGTGTTTGAAAATGGGTGATGGATCCGCTTGCCGCCTTTGCAGATTGCCTAAAAAGCTGTGGTAGTACATGCCAGCTGGGTATGTTGAGGCAGGGAAGCTGTAGTTTTCTTAAAACCCCTCCCTCCGGCTTCTGTCAGTGATAATGAAAATAGAATAAAAGACGCCAACCAGCAAACTATATGTTTCTTAGGTTAATGTTAACATCTACTACTACTTTGGTTCTGTTCAGGAGCGTTTTTGTTTTGGGACCGGACAGATGTGTAAAAACAGAAAGTCCACTCTCCTGTAGTTAAAAGGTATTCCTGCATCAGGACATAATAATATGATAAAAGATGAACATATACCCAAAGTGCATGTAAACACAAAGCGCTTTAAGATGAAGCCAAAATAGAGAAGTTACACTCTTTGTAAAAAAAACTTAGGACACCTTTGTTGCATCCTTAAGCAAATGCCATTAAATGCATGAATTTCTTAACATATTGGTCATGTTTGAAGTTACATAGCATTTAAATTTCAAATTGAAATCTTCAGAGAGAAGAAGATCTTAGTTTTCAAATGAGATACATCTCAAACATGTTGCTGGTTTTGTAGCATTTTGCCTATAGTTAAAAAAAAACATGGCAAACTGCTAATATTGCTATTACTACATCCACATGATCACAAATTCAAATTCTCATGGACAACCTCATGTAGAAAAAAGGGGCTATAAAAACAGATCTAAATGAGCACAAATTATTTATTTATTTTTTCTTAAAATTATTTAAGATTAAGTTAAAGATTATTTCAGAATGACTGTATCCGTGAAACAACTGGTGCTTTAATTTTGGACAATGTCGATTAAATAAAACGCTACAGAAAAACTGCTAAGAATGTCTAAAACATAATCCTTTACTAACATACAAAAATTACTTTTCCATGTTTATAAAACTCCAATATAATAACTCCAAATAAATAAACATTGTAGAAATATTTCTATAAAGAGGAAAACGCCTAAAACTACATAAAGAACAAGTCAGTGACATATCCTGTAATTATAGACTGTAAGGTATATTTAATATAAAAACTGCTATTGAATAAGTCGTATTGTGATTTATATATATATATATATATATATATATATATATATATATATATATATATATATATATATATATATAAATATATATATATATATAAATAGATTTTGAGTTATTGAACTGTATGCGATCATATCTCAAAGGGATGGATTATTCCCGTCTTACAATCCCTTATTGGTTTAGCGCTACTGTTGTCATTCTTCCTGTCAGATACTTTGCTTTTAAAGGATGTCCCATCAGGTGAGAGTCGTGAGGTAATCAAGATAATAAAGAAAGTATAACATTGTTCTCTGCCTTAGATTACCCCTGCATCCGTCAGGTTCGCTGCTGAATAAACAAAGACTCTAATCTACTATAAAGTAGGCATAAATCGGTCTACTCAGCTGGAGCTGCTGCTGCATGAGTCGACCATAAGGTTTGATGGGAATTTAGTGCAAAAATAAAGTGAAATGGTTGGAAAACAGTGGGTAAATGTGTAGGAGACACATTTATGTTAGCAAATTAAAGACATTTGTACAAGGCATGACATTGTTTTGCAAGTAATCACACATTATGGAGCCGCTGCTGTTTGATTATCATGCTTAATGTGTCTTGCTTTTACTAAGTTTGTAACAGTCTCTGTTTTGTTGGGTAATTATATTCAATATTTACCACCAGGGCTCATGGTGAATGTCTTAAGAGCCAACTTTGGTTGATGAATTATGAAGACAGAATTAGCATTGTTGTTTTAAGGTGCTACCGGTGAATCCAGCAAATGAGCTCTAAATGTTAATCGTGCAAAGCCAAGGCAGACTGGCATCGACAAACAAACTACACAGTAATTACTTGGAACATGGAAATGAACCTTGATGTTCCTGAAATGGGCTTTGTTATGTGGCTCAGTCAGGGTGTAATCAAGAAGTTAATGAGGATACTGTGTTAAACAGCCACTCTGTGGTTTGTGCTTCTGCTCCTGGCACCCTCCTGTGTAGCATAGGTTTATTCTTCCTCACTCTTTCTGATATCTTTTCATCCCCCTGCTGATTAAAACTGAAATTATATCTCTCTTTCGACGGGAAAGAAAGTAGTTTAATATTTCCCTGAGCTGTTGATCAACATTAAACCTCTAGTGGGAATGGGAAGGGAGCTTTATTTTATTGCTGGTTTTGTTTCCTCTTCTGGAGCCAATGTTGGTCTGCATCAGTCATGGGGAAATTAACCTCTCTAAAAACACCTTTTTCCAGGGTAACATATACTCCAACGTGCCTGCATACTTTCTTATTATAATGTAATTTTATCAGCCTCATTATCTGAAGATGAATTTATAGCCCCAGTTAAAATAGGCAAAAATCGACCACAGAAGAACTAAACTGAGCGCCTACATTGTCGAGACTTGTGTGTGCTTCCTGTCGTTCTCTATTCACACAGCCTCAAACACACTTGGAAATGGATGTGTTCTGGTCTGGTTGTCTCCGTCCCCCAGCCACGCAGTATGATGCTGACCCTCTCTCTAGGGGGCAAACAGGAAACAGGGTCTGCTGGAGCGCTATTTGCTCTTTAACATTTCTGTGTTACATGAAGCACCAGGAGAGTCACTCTGGTGATCCTGCTCCTAATGCGTAAGCAGAACATTCTAGGTCTGGGTGTTTTCTCTGAATTGTCTTGTTTTATTTAGCAGCATAGCACATTTCATACCATTCATTAATAGATTTCATCACTAGATGAAGCCTTAAAAGAAAATATCAGAATTTTGTTGTAGGTCTCTGATTAAGGCTCCTGCAATAATAACCCCGATAAGAAGATATTTGTAATTTTTTAACCATAATGTCATGAGCATTTATTATTAGGATCAGAGTTTATGTCATATTGTGCATTTCATAAAAAAACAGGATACACCAGAACTTTCTAATTAAAAGTTAGTAGTTAATGCAGTACTTGTTGTTAGCACTACCAGAGTAGCTGTTTCTTAGTTTGATTTGCTTTAGAATGCTAATAAACCATTTTAGTTGAAAATTTGTTTATGATTTAGACAACAAATGTTTTTCTGTGACAGACAGATGTTGAAGCTCCAAAGGAAAAAAAACAGAGCAACTTCTGTGTGTTCTGTTCATCAGTGAAGTCTTGCTCTTGCTTAGCCTCAATGAACCAAATATGTGTCTTAGTAAGAAAAGATTTTATGTCTCAGTTTCATAATCTTTCAGTTTTTTTATAGCTTTCAGCTTTATAAATATTTCTCAAATAAATTATTGTTAAAACTAATCATCTTCAAAGTATTGTTAATCAGGGCTGGATAATCTTGGTTCGGAAAGTAAAAAGCCTGACCAGAGATGACTTCCAACCATTTTTATTTGTAGCTCCAATATAAACAGAAACTATTTTGTAAAACAGGGGCATCAAACCTAAGTCAAGATAGTCTGTGTCATTCAGTTTCAACACTCCTGACTCCAATATGAGGTCATTAGCATTGATCTGCAGAGTTGAACTCAACACTTGGAAGGCATGTAGTTGAGCTGTGTAGGGTGAAGGGACGCATCTTAATGTTGATTTTTATATGAACAAAATGAAGAAAACAAAGGATTTTTTTACCTCCTGAGACTGGTACCACCTGCTCTTAACATGTATCACAATAGTTGAACGAAAAGTGTTGTTTAGAGCTCGTATCTTCTATGAGTTGTCAATCTGAGGAAGTCTAACCTAGTTTTAAAAGATATGTATTTATTTAATTCCATCTTAAGTTTGTCTGATTTAAGGCAACCAAAGCTAAAAAATGTTTTTTATGATGCAAAAACCTTTGATTTGAATGATTATCTGACAAATGTATCTGACCTACCCTCCAGGTGACCAAGATGGTGAAGACGGTGACTACCAGAACGGTGCGTCAGGTTCCCCTGGGGCCAGATGGCTTACCCCTACCTGAAGGCTCATCCCCTTTGAGCAGCTACACCGATTCCATCGACCGACGATACATGAAGAATGGAGGTGAACGCTTCATCACACCCCAAGCGACTTCGACCCTGACACGTGGCTATAACAACTCTTACAACGACTCATACGGGGAAACACCGGAGAGCCAGTACATCCGCCACTATGGCCTGCACGACGGCTGCGCCGATTTGACAGACAACTATGGCAGCCTGTCGCGGGGCATCAACTTCCGGCCGCCGCGTTACCCCTACATGCCTAACAGCTACCGTCCGGAGAACAGCTACACTCTGCCTATTCGCAAGGACGACTACGGCCACGTGGCGCAGCCTCAGGTGCCTATGGGGAGCAGCACAGTGGATCTAAACCGCTCCCAACCAGAGCGATTTCAACCTGAGCCGTACGGCTTGGAGGATGATCGACGCAGCTTGGGCCCTGAAGAGGAGGAGCCGTACGAGCTAGAACCCGACTACTCCACGGCCAGCCGCCGAACCCTGCCGGGGACTAACCGCAGCCGCACTCACAGGGAACCTCTACGTGACTTGCACAGGGTCAGGTAGGAAGAAACCACTGTTCCCTACTCAGCTTATCGAAGTCTGTTTGAAAAAAACTAATTTGCTTTCATTATTTTTGCATAAAAAGCCAATTCCTGTCAATCACTTGCCTTAATGCATTTCTCTTGCATCAAAAAGACTACCACAGAAAACAGATGTTTCTCCTTCTTGAACAGTTTGCAAGGAAAGGAAGCATGGAAAAAAACAAACACAGCTTGGAATGCCTTTTTTTCTCCTTCAAATGGACGATAAACATGTGTTTGTGTCAGAGGTAAAGAGGCAGGAATGACTGCAGACGTGACAGGAGAGGAAGAGGATGCCAGGCTTTTGTAATTTACTCTTCAAACTCTTCTCCTTTATTTTTTTCCTTTAGTGAGAGGAGTTCAACTCCTCACCATATTGGACAGGAGGAAAAAGCCTGTCAGACCCCAACAATAGGTCCTAAAAACCAACTCTTTTCTGCTAATAGCTTTCACTCCATTTGTTGTCAACCTTAGGAGAGCTTTTGGGGAAAAACGTCCATCCTGAAATAAATTGCAACCAAGGGATTGAAGCTGAGTCGGCGTGTCGATCACTGATCTGTAGCAGATGGAAGTTTTCAAGCACCCTGCGCTTTTCCACTAATCTGAGGGTAAAATGTTTGGCGTCATGCCATTTCTAAAGAAGAGAGAGAGCGAGGCGAGAACATGCGTGTTTGTTTTGATCCTGATCAAAGATGGAAAAGTAGGAAAAGGTTTCCAGCTTCTTAATTGAGCGTACGTAGTAGATTTAAAGGCTCCCACATTGATGAACATCAGCCTAAAAAGAGCAGAAGCCTTAATCAGAGCCTCTATTATTACACACTTCAGACTCTGCTTACACACGCACTCAATAAAATCCCATCTTCAGAAAACAAGTCACTCCTCCAGCCGCCTGGTAAGAGGCGCTTGCTGTGACAGGCAATTTGTAGCCTGCCTTACATGTGTCACCACAGCCACATATACATTTATATGCACTCAGAAACATGGAGACAGACACTCACATGCATTCACAAACACATGATTAGTTTCAGCAGTGTATTTCCAAACTTATCTTTGCATTTAGTGTGCATTGAAAACACAGCCGGATCATTAGAGTTCTATTCTATAAGCTGTTTTTTTTATTTCCTACCTCAGAGGCGTTACTATCAGCCTAAACACTGAGGCTGTGATTAGTATTCTTCCAAGACGGGACCAGCGTCTCCAAAGTACTGTAATGAATCTTAGATTTAACACGCTCTAATTACAGCTTATCATTTCATGCAAGCCTTCAATTATGCACAGACAAAAATGGTGATATTTAGTACTAAAGCGGCTTTCTGCATCGGCGCCATGCGCTCATTTGGTCCCCGCAGTGGAGTCCATTGTGAGTAGCCATGTTGATGGCGGTGATGATTTGTTGTTAAGGATGGCTGGATGGGCTTCACTCATAGACTTCATGGTTAATTTTAGCTTTGCATTTTAACGCATTAGGACCTGCTGCGCCCCCAATTACTTCGTGAAATACAGTCACATGTTGCATGGCGTCCTAATGAGATAATTGCTCTATCCTTTATAGATCTGTTCAATCAGAATCCATTCATTTTTTTCCTGCAAATTAGGTGTGTTTATGTTTCTGAGGTGGATTAAACTGCTTCCTATCATATTGTTTTCCTTTCCTTTTTTTTCCTGTCATTCAGTCTTTTTTAATAATATAATCATTTTAATTATTCATTTTTATTCTCTTTAATTATTTGTGCTGCCACTGCAATCTCTTCCTGTTGTTTTTGAGTGCAGCACTTTAAATGGAAATGTGCTACACAGGCTACATTCAGACTGCAGGCCCTTAATGCTCAATTCAGATTTTATTTTCAGGGTTGTTTACATTTCCAAATTTGTGCTAGCTTTATGTTATTTATGTTTATTAATATTTTTTTTTAGATAGTTGTGCAAATCATATTCGTTTCAAATTGTGTTTCACAGATCACATTATCTTTACTTCCCTGGAAGGACTTTCTTTTGTAGAGAGGAGCAACGTCTGCATGGACGTTAGCAACAACATTTCATGTGTCGACGTTGTTTGTCAATAGTGATTGTTTATTTTAGGGTAAAAGTGAGATAATTTGATCTGTGAAATGTAATTGGCAAAAATAATAAGTTTTTTGTAATTCAATCTAAAAAACAGAAATAAAGAAAAAAAAGTCGATGAAAAAGTCTTTAAATTTTTTGCATTTTTCCTCAAATTTCAATTTAGAAAATGTGTTTTTTTTTTTTTTTCCATTTCCAAAACGTGCAACAACCATTAAACAAAATTTCCCTACATAAAAGGGTTGAAGTAGGATTCATATTTCACTATACTCCAGGGATAAAGTTGCCTCTCAGTGATCTTTTGGCCTAATCTGTGTATCATTCAGCAGGCCTGTAATGAAGCATTTATGCTCCTCGCCTCATTTGCTTTTATATTTAACATCTGCTGGGAATGTTTTAGTGGAGAGTTTTTATGAGCCTAACTCTTGTGTAAGGTAAGGGACATGCTGGCATGGCTGCTTTCATTGACAGGAGCTGCTCTTGTTTTGCTGTTTTCAGTGATCCCAGGAGCTGAAGATCATTAATGCTAAATTTTCCGTGCAAATAGAAACATTTCATTTTTATCTATGATAATTTTACTGCCATCTACATTTTATTTCGAAGTGCTCAACTTTTTCATGATTTTTCATGTTACAACAATACTCAGAAGTTTGTTGATTGTGTAATTGAAAAAAAGAGTGGTACTTAAAGATATTCTGCAGGATTTTTGCAATTTTCTTAGAAGACCTGCCCTCTCCACTTTAAAAAAAAAAACACATGCACCACCCTGCACCCGCTCCGGAGAGGGAACGCCTGTTAAACGTATTTCAGAGCTCGCACGAGCCCATTTCTCTTCGTGCACACTCTGTTTAAAAGTTATTCTCACAGCTCATACAAGCTTACCGTGTCCAAACGTCCACCCTAACCCCTAAATAATTCAATAACTACAGTATATAGAGCGGGAATTAAATAGTGGACTTTATAGTGAACTCAGTTAACTTACCGTTTGGACAGATGATCACTGTTTTTTGCTCCCCGTTGGTCACGTAACTCTGCTTCCACCATGCGGTGCCTGCACCATCTTTTTTATTAGTCGCCGCGGTCGGGAAGCGAAAGCCTAATGCGACAGCGTGCCGCTGTGACAGCAAAGCACTCTGCGCAAAGCATTATGGGATATATCTGCCTCTTCTGAGGCCTTTCTTTTCATCTCATACACTTCGTAGACACTTTATCTCTCACAACCCTTGGCCACTTTCAAACAGCTGCGGTGAAAAAGATGAGCTTCAATGACTGTCATAAACCGTAGCTCACCACAGATATATGACTGAAAGTGCGCAACCGCAGAAAAAGATAGCTAACAGGGTGAGCATGTAGAACGGCTTTACGTAAACATACCACTAGAATGATTGAGGATTAGGAGGATGACTTATTTAGATAAAAGAAAAGAAGGTGGAAAAGAAGATCATCCTCTATAACTTTAATTTTAAGAGTCTAAACTTTACTTGCCCTTTTTTTCCCTACTTGCTTTGATTCTGTTATACTTTCCTATATTTTAATCATGTAAAGCACTTTGCGTTGTCTTTGTATTGAATTGTGCTGAATTGCCTTGCCTTGCATGAAAACGGAGAAGCAGTTTCCTCTTAGATTCCTCTTTAGTGGAAGTTTATATATAGATACTGTATATGTATATATATATATATATATATATATATATATATATATATATATATATATATATATATATATATATATATATATATATATATATAGGCAAGGACTCCCCTCCAACCCGCCTCAAGTGGAGGAGTTCAAGTATCTTGGGGTCCTGTTCACGAGTGAGGGAAGAATGGAGCGGGAGATCGATAGACGGATCGGTGCGGCTGCTGCAATAATGCGGACGCTGCACCGGTCTGTCCTGGTGAAGAGAGAGCTGAGCGAAAAGGCAAAGCTCTCAATTTACCGGTCGGTCTACGTTCCTACCCTCACCTATGGTCATGAAATTTGGATCATGACCGAAAGAACGAGATCCCGGATACAAGCGGCTGAAATGAGCTTTCTCCGCCGGGTGGCTGGGCTCTCCCTTAGAGATAGGGTGAGGAGCTCGGTCATTCGGGAGAGGCTCAGTTTAGAGCCGGTTCTCCTCCACATCGAGAGGAGTGAGTTGAGGTGGCTCGGACATCTTCTTCGGATGCCCCCTGGACGCCTCCCTCGGGAGGTGTTCCAGGCATGTCCCACCGGGGGGAGGCCCAGGGGACGGCCCAGGACACGCTGGAGAGACTATGTCTCTCGGCTGGCCTGGGAGCGCCTAGGGCTTCCCCCAACAGAGCTGGAGGAGGTGTCTGCGGAGAGGGAAGTCTGGGAGTCTCTGCTTAGTCTTCTGTCCCCGCGACCCGGTTCCGGATAAAGCGGGAGACGACGACGACGACGAGTATATATATATATATATATATATATATATATATAGATAGATAGATAGATAGATAGATAGAGAGATAGATAGATAGATAGATAGATAGATAGAGATCAACAAATTTAGCTAAATCACACCCTTTTTAGGGTTATTGAGTTATTTATTTTTTATTGTTAATTACTATTATGGCTTGTTTTATTGACATTCATTTTGGATACCAGAGTAAAGGGGTTGAATGCTATTGCATGCCCCAATTGTTAGATCCTAAAGTTCCTCTTTGTGTTGGTCTTCCACTTCCAATCCTCATGAACATAATAAACATTAGGAAGTTGGTTAAAATCTGATAAACTGGTCAAGCTAAAGGGGTGAATATCCTTTTTGTTACTGCCTGTTTTAGTGTGGAATAAAAGTGGCATCATTTCCCCGGCTAAAGGGGTGGAAGAGCATCATTATCCCGCTTATGTCTGGGTGAATAGATATGGGAATGTGAGGGCATCCTTTACATTCCAACTCCTGATGCATCCTTTAT